AAATCCTTTTCTTTTATTTTCAGGGGTCACAACCTCACACGAGACAAAAGCCTTCATAGTGGAAATTAAATGTACTTAGTATGCAGTAGATTCTTACATTTGCGTAGTTTTTCCACAATCTACGTCAACCTCTTATAATATTCTTGTGTGTCCTTATTAACCATGAAAGTCCTTCTAGTTCGATTTTCACATAGTATTATTCTGTCACTTCATGCCTTGGACAAAAGCCAAAAAAGCGAGTATTAGCATATCCTTTAAACTTCGTTGGTGCCAACAAAGTGAACAAACGCTTACCTTCCTTTCTTTTTAATTTTCTAAATTTCTAATACTATGACACCTATTACCTTAGGCAATGTACAACATCAACTCGAATTAGCTAGCTATATATATAAAATTGAAAGAAAAAAAATGAGTTAAATGATATTAGAAATCTTCTAATACGAAGTAAAGTTTCATATATTTGATTGATATATATTTTGCTGAAATTGACTATTTTTAATACTTATACAATAATATATGATACAAGTATATAAGTAGTTCAAATCAAAGTATCGTAATTTTGTATACAATTGAATTATACACATAACTTGTCTTTCCTCAAGATGGAACCCTAATTCTTAAATAATGCGAAGTATATAAGGAAGTACTTACAACGAAAGTAGAAGGATTCAATCCTCAATTCTACAACTTAATTCACTTTTATACTAACAACAGTGATTTACTGATTTATATTGAAAAAGATAAATTACAAAAATGTGTAAAAAGTTAAAAACCCTTCAAATAAGAAATAAGTGACAAAACGAAGTAATCTTAGTAAAAAAAACCCTTCAATCCTCAATCGGCGCGTTTTTTGATAAGAGAGAGAAATAATAAAAAAAAAAGTAATGTAAGTGGGTTGATAAGAGAGAAAAATAGTAAAATATAAATTACTAATTTATCTTACAGTGAAGTTGGTAAGAGAGAAAAATAATTAAAAAAAAGTAGTGTAAGTGGGTTGATAAGAGAGAGAAATAGTAAAATATTAGTAGGTCCTTACTAAATAAAAAAGTGTTGCAATTATTAAAAAACAGATGAAAATGAAAAGTGTTACGATTATTACAAAACGGAGGGAGTAACAATAAAATAAAATATGTCTAAACTTTAAAAAGAAGGTCAGATTCTATAGATATATAAAATTTATTTTAACAAGGGAAAGAAAAAGTATGTCGTTTTTTTCCCTGTGTGCATCCTAACGAAGAAAAAAGTTGTTGTGTATCACGGGGCGTCGGTGACAAGGTTTGTTGCATGTCAAATGTGCGCATCAATATGTCAATTTTCGGCTGTTTTGTGTGTGTATATAATTAGAATGATTAAAAGTATAATGTATTAGTTAGAAAGGTGGTAGAGAGTCTCTGTATATGTTAGTTCAAATTTAATCTCGAAAATGATTTATCAACAATCATGCATATATATACAAGCAAAAGTGAAAGTTTAACAGCCTAAAAACAACAAAAAAAAAAAAATATACTGTACAAAATAAAATTGAAAAAAATAACATTGAATATGATCAGTTATTCAGTATCCCTTTAAAATAATGCTGAGAGGAATTGACCCTTTGAGCAACCACCTAATATCAAATTATGCATTCTTCTCTAGGCAAATAGTCAATAATGCCGATTAATACCTTGGATTCTTTTTTTTTTTTTTTTTTCAAAAGAAATACCTCATATATGCATATCAATATTTGCAAAGTGAGTACTAAATCCATTTGTTACTTAACAATCCAATTGGTTTTTATAATTGTTGCAGTGGTAGACTTGAGCTGTGTAAAATAGGGAATTGTAGTAATTTTATATAAACTAGAAAAGTGAAAAAACTATCTGTTCATTCGAAGAATGCAAACCAATTTAAGGCATATTTAATCGTATAAAGTAAATTTTCTACTCCTTTAGCACAATCTTATACGAGTAATTCCTATTAAAAAAATAAAAAATATATATTATGCTTACTTTTAGAGATCCATACTGCGAAATGCAAATAAAATAAATAAAAAAAAAAAAAAAAATTAATACTTGTATTATAAAGATTATAAACTACTTGATTGTCTATGCCCATGATTATGTATTTGCAACTGCAAATGGACCCTCATCATATTTCCACCTTTTTTCTGTTACATTCACCTGTTGTCTAGGCTCTAAGATTTCATGTACAATTGGCTAATCCATAAATAGGTGTTAGAAGGAAAATAAAAGTACAATACTTTACCATTAAGTAGCAAAAATTATGTTGTTATTATTACAAATGAAATGGAATTATAATCATAGTTTAGTACGTAGTACTACTTTTAAATTTTTACCCAACAAATATATGTGATCTTTTAAGTTTTAACTACTTTATTGGCAAAGTTGAATATCTGCAATGATAGCATGCTTCACGATTTGATATTTCATTAATTTATTTAGTGATTACTCATTGCCAGCCTCTTAATTAGGGTTGCCAGCTCAGCTCTCTCAATTGTGTGTTAGTGACAATTCAATAATAAGTTTCTCTTCAGTTGACTGCTGTATAACTGTATTTATGTTCAAATTATTAGAGCCCTTTAGCTTGTCTCGGTGATGAACTTGGAAAAAGAAGACCGGAGAGAAGTCTAGTTAATTCATGTCAATTTCAGCCTTTTATTTCAGCCTCTGTGGAACTTACCTTTAGATTGTAAAGTCGTGATTTATTAGTTACGTTATATATAATTTTGTTATTTAATATTTACATATATACACCGTATTTTACAAATTTGAAATTATTTATACTGATATTTTACCTATAATATTATTATTTTATAGTATGAAGTTATTAAGTCAATAGAAAAATTGAATTTTTGTCTTATATTATTTTAATTGAACCTGACCGGCCCTAATTAGTCATGATTTTTATTTTTATTTTTTTTATTATTTTTTCCAAGGGGAAGAGAGTGCACTCTAAACCTTTAATTTATTACATATTTAGATGTAATTGTTTCAGTCAAAAGAACATGGCCCTGCTAAGATGTAAGGGCAATATCCAATATTCCAATATCACCCATTTGCTAATTGTGCCATGTGAAAGTCTCTCTTGGCTCACCCTGTTCGGCTTATCCGTAATCACAAGTTCACTGTCAGCATGGGCGAAGTTCTATACATAACCTGCTGTATTTTATTTAATTATGTATTTTTTATAAGTTACCAAATGGTGTCTTATCTTCTAACCTATATATATTCAAATGTGATTGACTAATTGTTCAGTTTCATAATTCATTACCCAACCACCTGGGCCTAGCCTGCTAGGTATAATGGAAAACTATAGCATAAATGTATAGTATGGAGTATAATAACTTGTGAAGCTTCCCCTAAGTCTTCTAGGAATGGTTTTATAATATATATTAATCTATTGACCAAAATTTTATTAAATTATCATTAGGAGGAATTAGTATGAATGTCTAAGATCTCAGCCTTACCTGTTGACTTGAAACAACATCATATCTAGTAATATCTTCATATTTAAATATTCGAAAATAGTATATGTGACCGATCCCTCAAGGGGGAGTGGTGTTGTAACATGTGGTTCAATGCGAAAACTCTTGGCCCTTGGGTGACCATCTGGACCATCTATATCACCGTATAGAAGGGGCAACGCTAACAAAACGGCCCTTTATGTTGATGTGAGCGACTAAATTATGTACACCTTGCAATTCAAATGACTCGAGGATAATAAGAATAAAAAATAAAAATAAAAAAGGTTGTAATGAATTATTCTGTAGGACTGCTATAAATGGTAGGTAGAAATAGAATGGACCATAGTAGTATTGTGGCGTTGGTTCACCAATTGCCAATATCTAAGTGGGCTCACAGAAATGGGCTTCATTTTACTTTTGAATTTGAACCCCACTGGCCCACTTAAAAGAAGTTTAAGTATTTTTGTGGGCTCTATTTTTCCATAAAAATCTGAAATTTAACATATTATCTGTAAAATGGCTGGCTAGCAAATGGGAGAGACAGGGGACTGGTGTTTGCAGTCATAATTAAAAAAGGTGTAACTGGGGCAGAAATAAGATAGAGAATATGGAAATGATGAATTGGAAGTTTTCATTGTTTGGAATTAGAGGCATTATAATTTATATACTTGTATGTAGGTCATATTATTGTATATTGTCTATGTTTCTTGTTTTGTCAAAAATTTTGTTTGGAGAAGAACAGGCCTACAAAATAATTAAACTAATCAAGAAACTTTTATGTTTTCTATTGAAGGTATATGGGGTACAGTAATCTAAGTAAAGTTTTCCCAAACTTTACGATCATGTTTTTAGCTAATAAATCTCAATATTATACTCAATGTACATGTGTACTTCATTCCTTCACAAAATAAATTCCTTAAAATAGGTGCAAATATACTTCCTCCATCTTTTTTAGTTGCATCATTTTAGTTTTCACGTATTATTGACAATTTTTGGAGTAGAGGGAGGTTGAGAGTGAAAAATAAATGGAGCCCATGTGATGGATAGAGAGAATTAATTAGTTAAAAAAAAATGATACATCTAAATTAAAACTTTCTTATTTAGAAAGTGATGACATCTAAAAAGAGGAGTATAAATAATCTTACATTTCTCAAAAAATGAATACTCTAGACTCTAGTTGAAGGAGGGCGCCCAGTGCATAATTGAAACATACAGTCGAAGACTCATAAGTATATCATGCAGTATTTTGGTAAATTTGTTAAATATTTAAGGGTATTTTGATAAATTCACTGACATGACTTGAGGAAGACAAATGCTTATATAAATGATATATACGGTTAAATGATGTATATTCTAAACCAAATGTTGTACGTCCAAGCATAATAGCATGTATTAACAATTGAACATTAATGTGCTTTATCAAAAACTATATATATAAAAAAAAAAAATTAACAAAAAAACTTTGCAGTTATTTACAAATACCTCTTTGTAGCTAAATGCACGAAGTTCTATTTTTAGGTGCGCCATATAAGTAATGCATTGATTTAGGGTGGCCTTATGATTTGCAGTTTTGTGCCATAGGCCCATAGCCGTTTGCCTGTTTGTGATAATGGTAATTTTTTTTTTTTTTTTTGATTTTTTGTTTAATAATGGTAATTATTAAAAAGCAAGATATACATTTATAATGCAATACGCAAAATAACGATTAAGCTTATGTCAAGTAGTTTGATTTTTTTAAACCTTTTGGCGGTACATGGCCTATCGAATTATCGATATCAAATGTAAATCCAACTACAGTCACAGAATTCCCTCCAAAGAAGGACCTTATCAAAATGACAAACCTTATCCTAAGTTAGGAAACCAGCAAACCACTGCTTGTAGCAGACTATGGACACCAAGACTTAGAAGCTCAAATTGCTAGAGATATTGAACCACACTGAAAGCCATGGCAGCATTTATCTGCCACCTTCAACCAGCAAATTTCCACGCAAAAGGCCGGTCGGTTATTTCTTGCACAATGCAGCAGCCGACCCAGAGTAACATCAAGGTAATATGGCATTGCTCTTACCAACATGACATCTTGTTCCAGCTATAAGAAACTCTCTCGTCACTTGCTCGTGGCTCATTTGATAGCTTTGCAGGTGATCATAAATGGTGCTGCCAAGGAAATAGGAAGGGCAGCAGTGATGGCGGTGACCAGAGCAAGAGGGATGGAGGTGGCTGGTGCAGTAGACAACTATTATGTAGGAGAAGACATTGGAAAGGTAGAATCTCCATTTCTTTGCTTAATTCATCAGAAATGTTCTTTCCTTTCAAGCTTGTCTGTAAAACCTCTGTTGCAATTGATCAGCTATGTGACATGGAAGAAGCCCTGGAAATACCCATAATGAATGACCTTACAATGGTGTTGGGCTCGATTTCACAGGTAAATTTATGCCAAAAGTATTACTCCCTTTGTTCCACGTTAATTTGCATACTTGCCTCTGGCAAAAGATAGAGTAGTAGATATAAAGGAAAATGTAAGAGAAACTGTTGGGGGCTGAAGACATAAAATTACTTCAAAAGGAAAGTGTGCAACCAATTTGGGGCAGTGAATAAAAGCAAGTGTGCAAATTAATATGGGACGGAGGGAGTATGTCAAGTAATATCTGCCTGACATTTCTTTTGCAACATGAATTCAGTCAAAAGCAACAAGTGTAGTGGTTGATTTTACTGATCCTTCAACGGTATATGACAATGTCAAACAGGTACAATTGTTTTTTTTTATCCTCTCTTTGTACATATCTGAAATCACATACCCTTTCTCTCTTTGCACATATCTGAAATCAAATACCCTTTCGTACATAAAAAATTACATTTTTGGAGTTAAGATATTACAAACCTCCCCTGTTCTGCTACACAGGCAACAGCATTTGGCATGAGAAGCATTGTTTATGTGCCGCGTATAGAGCTAGATACAGTGGCAGCATTATCTGCATTCTGTGACAAGGCAAGCATGGTGAGCACATGGTGAGACTATAATGAGAGAAAAAGTTCACAAGAAGTTTTAGTGAAAAGAAATCCACTATAGTTTATTACAGTAGCTGTTGTCCTTAAGTTCTTTGCATAAGTTCTTTGCATACTTTCTTTCTGAAATTTCTGAATTCCACTTGAACATTCAAATCAGGGTTGCCTTGTAGCACCAACACTGTCTATAGGATCTATACTTCTTCAGCAGGCTGCAATCACAGCCTCTTTCCACTACAACAATGTGGAGATAGTTGAATCAAGACCTACTGCAAGAGTAAGCATATGCACTAAGCTCTTATTAAACTTCTACTTAGGATTCAGGTAATAAATAACTCTCACACCATCTCATAATAATAAATAAATCCACCAACCCACATTCATGATAACAGAAAACAAGTTTCAAATATTGTCTGCTGGACAACAAAACCTACTCGAATTTGACACTCCTTAGTAACCTATCAATCTTTTTCTCCTTTGCTTGTTTCAAGACAGTAGATTTACGACTGTCAAAAGGCCACATAACAAACATCCCATATGACCATATATAATCGTGAAGGTAGTTATATATTGGTAATTAGAATTTCTAACCTCAATGTGAAACCAATTACATTTAGTCCTGTTTTTTTAGCCCCTCTAGCAAATGATTATAGAAAGTCACACTTCCACATGATTTCTCTCTCTCTCCTCTTTTTTTTTTTTTTAGCATTTGAATTCGACCAGCACTCCATCAGTAGCAAACTGTGTCCACAAATCTAAAGAAAGTTTTCATGTCCTTGTTATAAAGCTGTGACTGGGACCAGCAGATGCAATTCATTTCGACACATTACATCTTGTCCAGCTCTTTTCTAATTTGGCTTTCTTCCTTAAATATTCTTAAATAGGGCCAACCAGGCAACCACTTGAGGAACCATATATCTATTACACTTCAAGGTCAACAAATTCTTTTTTCAAGCATAAATTTTTGAGATCCTACCAAAGACAGGACCCTCATACCAGCATGATGGTCATTGCTTTGGTTCATAAGCTCATAACAATAGTATGAAATAAGTTGCTTTGGTAACAGTATCAACCAAAGTTATTTATATGGAGTACTATCTAGGATTTTAAGAAAGATGCTTCATTTAATATGGTTCAGCACTAATTTAAATATCTAGAAAAACAAATGCACTAGCAATTCCTAAATCAGTAAAAAAATAAACAGCTATCAAATTGACTTCTGACTGCTTTACAGGATCTTCCATCACAAGATGCAACTCAAATTGCCAACAACTTATCAAACCTTGGCCAGCTTTACAATAGGGAAGATATCTCAACAGATGTTGTGGTAAGAAGATGATCTCATACACAGGAGAGATGCTAAAAATGTTGCAAAGTTTAAGCACAGAGAGTTTTATAGACAAGAAACTAGGAACAATATGTTTGAAGAATTAATAAAATTGAGCTCTGTCCCTTATTTCTGAAGGCAAGAGGTCAAGTTCTAGGAGAAGATGGAGTTCGAGTACACAGTATGGTCCTTCCAGGTCTACCCTCTGGCACAACAGTTTACTTCTCAGGCCCAGGAGAGGTTTGTCTAGCAAGTCCTTCTCAAAGATTTAAAAAACAAGAAAATTTTACTTCAATTAGATTACATGGAACATACTTCTTTGACCCCCAAACGAAAATTTCTGGTTCAGGTACTAACTCTTAAGCATGAGATCACAGATGTGCAAAGCCTAATGCCAGGCCTGATTATGTCCATAAGGAAGGTTGTACGACTAAAGGTAACTAGCATTTGTTGTTTTGCTGCTATTCTGATTGTTTGTTGAGGAAGATGTACTGTTGAATTGAGGACTTTAAGGTTTCAGACTGAATTGACTGAGCAGTGCGTTCTGAGATACCCCATAAAGTAAAAGTTTATCAAGACTACAGAGGTGAAGGTGTATATGTCACAAACGCAAAGTTTCACTTTAGAACACAGTTCCTAATCTAGAGCAATTTAGTTACCTCAGGTCTCAGAATTTCAAGTGACAAGAGTTTCAAAAATAGACTATCTCATAAGAAAATTAAGAAAAGTCATAGTACCTTATTCTTTTTTGAGGGAAAAAGGAAAAAAGCCATGGTTCCTAAATTTTCAATGACCTCAAGATGTCTCAGTGATAAAGAGTAGTGGTTAGGGGTGAAATGCCACTCGAACCCAGAGCTAACTTTATTATGTCATCTGCTTCTAGCTTAGCATAAATTTTTGTACTTGCTTGTTGACATTATCTGAAACCAATGTTTCCCTCCTTGACAGAATCTGGTATATGGATTGGAGAAGCTATTGTAAAGATCAGATGTTATTCCCACAACATCAAATACTATCAGACATTGGACTTTGGAGCCTCTGTCCATATTCTTAAGTCTCAGACAACGCAAACAGAAATTCGAGAAAAAGAGCTGGCCAGCAATCAGATGAAAGGAAGAAAAGTTAACACATTGAATATGTCAAATGGCGACCACACCCAGCCATTCGGAGAGTATGCGGCATGTTAGAACTGATGAGATTACACTAACAAGACATAACTGAACAATTTTTTTGGTCCTGAACTGGAAAAAAAAAAAAAAAAAAAAAAAAATCACTATTGCAGTGTCTTCCACCAGCTGCATTATGAGATCTTTAGTCCTGTATTATTTTTGTTCATTTTGTTATTGTCTCCAAAACCTGTGCTTTAATTCTGAAACTACCTATGTTAAAAGAAATAAACTCTTTAAGCAAAAGTGTTTATTGGTTAAGAAATATGGGAAATACCACCAGAATAGAGAAGATTGCTAGGTTAACCATTTACTGAAGCAAGATCTTTTTCACAAATTTCTCTCAACATAAAGAAGCTTATAATTCAGCTTGTACACTAAGCTAATTCTGTTTTTTTTTTCGCTCAGTGTACCACATGGTCCACGCCTCTACCTCAAAACGAAGTATACTCAGTCTGTGAAGAATATATACATCGCATTATTTATCCACCTACGCATATCATTGTCAGAAAGGGCTACAGATATCCTTAACTATAACAGCTTGACAAGGGTACACATATATGCCCGATATAATATCAAGATCAATGTAGAGTATGATTCAAAATGCAAACACAATTGACATATGTCATTCAAGTAGTCTCAGGAAAAAGAAAATCTTGGACTGCCTCAGTACCTCTGTTAGGACAAATAGGTATCCTGAAGCAAAAGGAGAGTTGTGAATAATTAGGAGCTATAATTTTGGTCTCACCTTAAATTTTCTGGCTATAGCTTTTGTCCACATCATGTCTTTCTCGTCATAGGCATAGCTTATGCTTGATGCTAGAAGCACAAATTCCATATCATTCTCCTCTCCAATGCCCTGTGTTTTTGCAGAGCGAAGTGGCTGTATCAAAATAGAGCCAGTCTCCTCAGGAATAGCCTCCTCCAGCACTGAACCTGTAATAAAATGAACCGTGTGCCATTATTTCAAGAAAAATCAAATGCACATACAGGAGCACCTTTGGGATACATCATACATGCATTTCAGCAAGTTGGAGAGTCATAAAAATGTGTATCATAAGAAGGTAGTCACACTAGGTTATAACTCATACTTTTGATATTCTTCTTTGCCATTAAAAATTTATTGGAATGTCCAGAAGAAAAAATGAAGCCTCTCCTTGGACATCTAATGACCAAAGTTCATATACAATACCAAAACAAGACTTATTGCCTTTAAAGAGCGCCATAAGCCATGGAAAAAGTCAATTTCTCAAAAGCCAGGGACCATATATCTTCACAACAACAGAGCATATGACAATGGTCGGCCTGTTCCTAAATGCTACGGAGTATAAATCAATCTCTACGAATAATTTCGCCCAAATGGTCATTCTACGTCCACCAAGTTTATACTTTGTCTATGCTTTATCCCATCGAAAACATTACTAGTCATGTTAAAAGATGCATTGTGAACACCAATGAAAAGGATAAGAAAGAATTGTAAGGACTAAAGTTTCATAGGCTTCCCAGCATTTCACCCCAAGTTATGTTGGTCACTTTAACCACATAATGCATAGGAAATGCCAAGGCTATAAATCATAATAGGTCAATAGTGAACCTCTTTTAGTTACAGCAAGGTGAGGAAGCCAAGGAAAACTTGGAGAAGTGAGTCCTTAATAACATTACACCTAAGTTCTTTCACAGCCACCAATTGTAACCAAATCTGCACACATACCAAGAGTTTTGTACAAATTTGTTGAGGAGTCTTTCAGGCTCCCAACTCCCAAGTATCACCTACGTTCCATTTTGGCAATCTTAGTTTTGACCACATATGACACAATTCCCATATGGCCTACCAAGCCATAATCCCATGACGTAATTGCTATAAATTACAGACACACCCTTATAAAGACAAAGGAAGATTAGAACTATTAGGAGGAAACTTGGAGAAACCTTAATCACCGTAGGTCCATACCCAGCAAGGAGTTGCTTCAGATATTATAATATACTATTATAGTAAATTTCTCTAGGAAAGCATAAAAATTAAATGATTCAAAATCCCTGGTTTTGTAATAAATGGAGAATTCATCATAAGGTATTATTCAGTGATATAAATAGATATAGTCAAATAGATTAATAGTAATAGTAATAGTAATAGTAAGCCCATATTATTATTCACCTGTGCTTTGAGGAAAATAGAGTGTCTCCTTCACATCAGACAGACCATATTTCTTTATCTTTTCCACAAACCAGTTGACAATCCCATCCTTTGATAGATTTTCTGGTAAGTTCCAATAGCCACGGACACAGATCACATCTTGCAAAGATAAAAGCTGAAATATAGAGATTAAGACTTTTTAAGAACTTGTAACTTTGTAAGGCCACTAAAGGCTTTTTTTGTTGGGGGTGCAGAGGTGAGGGGTGGCATGCAAATATTATGCATCATATCGCATAACTAAATGCTTTTATGTGAACTTACCACTGAGACAGATTTTGTATTACGTAGTAGAATATATGTTGTCCAAGCAAGGTCCTCCTTCAGGGTATTTGAAACATTGGGGGACATTACAAAGATTTGCTGAGCACATTCAGGGAGAGCTGTTAATTTTTCTGGTGTTGCTCCCTGTATTGTATTAAGATATCAGTCTACAGAGCTATCAAGATTCATACTTCCCACATAGTAGCTACATCCAGATCATATTATCTAGTGGCTAAAGACCCTTAAAAATCAAGCAAAAAGGCGCCAACCCAAATATGATAAAGGGAAGTGACAATAAACACACACACACACCCATGCAAGATTCATCAGGTGTTGTTAAACGTCGGGAAGATACATGGCTAAAGGGAAAGCTTGGAGTATCGCTACTGGACCCTTGGTACTAGATAAAGCTCAGAATATTGTAGCAGAAGATTGCACTAGTACCGCATTCCATGGCTGCTACAATAGTCATTGAATTATGTGGACACCTAGTCTTAGTTTTAGTTTCAGTTTGAACTGATTGCAAAACCAGAAATTAGTAAGCTTTTAAAAAGTTCTTAAGGTACAAAATATCTATAGCACTTTATGGAAGCCTGGCAGGATTACCAAACTGTTAATTTGATAATAAATCTCCATAGAGCATTGAGCGACTTCGCTTAGCACTTATGGATAATATTTAGTTATTCACAATAGTAGATGGCAATCAATTTACTTAATTTTTATATAAATGAATGGTTTACAAGTTTTACAACATCTGTGTGATTTTCATCATAGCTACATGATCAACATAGAATAGACCTCACTTAGCTACTTGGAGGAGTGTGTACCCTGTGTATAAGGATGTTAGAGCATTAGATTGATCTTCATGATATCACATTTAAATCAAGAAAATTAATGGTGTAGACATTGCATGAAGAACATTAACTTCTCAATAGCATAACATAAATTCCTAGTCTTCCACATTATTCTCTTAAAATATTGATTATAGAAGTCCCTATCCCTAATAAGCTCTACTATAATAGCTTGATAAACCGATTGAAAACCAGCAGATATAGAACATAATCAAAGAAACTATAAAAACACAACTTGACATATAGCTTCACCTAGAGAGAGGATTCCTTCTTTTATACTCTGTATTCTTTAATACTTTCTTTATAGTCTCAAAAACTAAATTAAACACTATATCAGTCCATTTTTTTATTAAATGAAAGTGTAATCGATAAACAATAAACGTAACTTAGCACAAAACTTTACCTTGAGAAATCTTCCCACATAAGGAAGTGACGCAGAGAAAGCCGCCAACGAAAGACCCAAAGCCTCAGAAATCTGAGAACACAATTCTATGTAAATTACTTGATCAAACAATAATCATCACAACAACAAGCAATCAAAGTAGCTATCGACTCACAAGCTGAGCTGAGGTTACAGGGGAACTCGAACCGACAAAATGGTTGAGAACAAGAAGAGATCCAAATCCATAACCAATCCATCTGGGCAAGTAAGATTCATCAAGCCAAGATATTCCTACAAAAACCCAGTTCATTTAAATGAGCAATCAATTGAAGTAGTAAACAAATCTCAAATTAATGAATAATGCACACAAGGTGTTTGTGTTTATGTCTCAGAGAAAGATGAACTAACCGAAGGTAAATCGAAGTACAGAGAGGTTTATTTGTTGCTCGGAATTTGTGGATGTCGAAGAATCATCAAGCTTGGCTGATAATTTCAAAGATTTTCTGGAATTTCTTCTGGTAACTACGCCATGAAGACGATGATAAGAGTTGGCGCGAAATGGGAATGCTAGGTTTAACGGTACCAACTGATTTCCAATGAGAATACTCATTTTTTTTTTAGTTCAAAACAAATTGGAAAAAGTATATAAAGACACAATAATTTCAGAATAATAGATTAAAGCCTATGCCATGCACAGTAAGTCTAACTTTTTACAAGAAAATTAATTATATCTAATAAATAAAATTTAATAAAACATACTGATCAAATATATAAAAATTATAACGTCATTATCTATATTAATAGACAAAGCAAAAAATTAAACAAAAGTGAATTTTTTGCGCCGCCTAAACCTGAGAATTTTTTCAAGTGGGTGGTTTGATTAGGTCTAGTGGTCATATAAGTAAATACTTATTTACAAAATGCCTTTGTAATAACATAAAAAATTAATCAAACAACAGACTAAAATCTCCACTAAAACTTTTAGCAAAAGTGCACAACATACACACATATATATATTATATTAATATATATATATTAATTACAAATAATGTATCACCTTTAATATCTAAAAAATCATTGCAATGAAAATAAATACTACTCAGATCATTGAAGGCAATCAAGAACAATCAATAATTGGGCAACACAAATCTATATTATTACATTTTTAGTTATGGATTGATGTTCTACATATACGATATCGTCATTTTTTGTTACTATAAAAAATGTGTTTGAAGCTAACAATAACTATAGTTTAATCATTTTTGTTTATTGTCTTAAAAGTTTAATTGTAGATAATAGATATATATCCCAAAAAAAAATACAAAAGGAGATGTCAATTGTCACTACGTCTGACGTGTCTTTCAGTATGCAGATTATTTATGAATGTCGAATGTAATAAATTTATTATCTCAATCAAGTGTCTTAGCAAAAGATAATAATATTTTTTTGCTTTTACTAAGATATTGATTTTTTTAATTACGTAATTTACAAAAAAATTAATTGATATTTTACCTTTTCCTAGAATTAGACATATGATATGATTGTCAAACACAACATTTATTTTATAGTTATACTATACTCTATAAATCCTTAATTTGTGATAATATATATGCAGTAGTAAAATTTCATTAACAAAATTCTAATTAATTTCAATACATAGTTATATTGAAATTGAAATTGAAATATGATATTAGCTAGAGGTATTTGAAATAAATAAATAAATAAGTGATGTTTTAAAGTAATTTCCTTAACATCTATCATATGAATCAATTTATCATTACTTTTTTGGCAAAATCTTATAATACTCCATTTAAAAGATAATTAAAAAGGAGTTGGAATAATTATTTAAGTAAATGTATATAGAAAAATTATGAACACCAAGTAAAAATAATATAAAAAATTTGGAATGATATTATTATAGAATCAAATATTAACAAAAAAAATGGTTAAAAAGGGAAGGGGAGTTTTGGAGGGAAAAAACAGCACCAGGATGTGACACGTGTCACTCCCGGTGTCTGTTTTAGTATTAAGATTATTATTATTATTGATTCCAAGTCTTTTTTCAGAGATATATAATGCGTGAATTAGATAGTAATCAATGGCCGAGATTATAATTTGATGTTATAATAAATTCTCTAGTTAAATTACTTTATAACGTACAAATTTTTTAAATGTGATTAATTAAAATATGATTGGAAGTGAATCATGTTGTATTGTTGTCTACCCTTAAAGATTGATATTCAATTAACGTACAAAAAGTCGTTGTTTGATAGACGCGCAAATGTATTGAAATTACTAGTTACTAGTTACTACTTACTAGTTAGTATGAAGTATTAAAGTGTTTTGACTAAATTTATTACTCGGATTTCTAGTTTATACGAAATGAAGTTGTTTGCTTATCCTCCTGCCTAGGTGATGGCTGTCCACTTGTGTTGTCAAAGCTCGGATATAACTTTTATCCCACTCCTTCCTTGTTCAGTTGATGTGGCTCCAATTGTCAAAGCTCTTCAATAGCAAGCCTTAACTTACTGTCTGTACACTTGTGTTGTTAGCGAGCGAGGGGGCAAGGCAGTGCCAGAAATAATCAAATTTGAAAGACATCACAAGATTTGTGATTTCTAAATTTTGGCTCTATCGTTTAAGCAAACTTTGTTTTAAGTAATGCTAAAAAAACAAATACGAGCAATGACGTGCATAGTTTCAAAACAGAACCTCAAAAATAAAGATTTCGCAACAGCAGAATGAAAGCAGCTAAAAGCATGATCAATACTTCAGGTTGGTCTGTGATGAGACTGATTAATTTCTCTGGGTTTTGGATGACCAAGAAGAGACCGTGTCAGGTTTGTCCACATTCCACATCACAGTTCCTTCTTCTGAGCTTTTGACCTTGCTGGTCTTGGAGGTTTGACAGCAGAACCCAGAAGTAGAAGGACAACTGGAATAATGGTGCCGATATAATACACACTTCCATACGCGGTCAAGGTTTCATGCAAGCTTAGTACCTGGAAAGCCAACCTTGTTAGAAATGGGAAAAAATATCATAGCAACAAACAGCAGCAAAACTTCACTAAAAAAAAAAAAAAAACAAACAGCCAAACAGCTGCAAATTCTCCAAAAATCACAATAGGGATCCTACTGCGAAAGTTGATCAGCCTCGTTTGATTTTATCACATTCCACACTTCATGGTTTTATCAATAGTCACCATATCTGAGACCTGAGGAGCCAAGCCTACATACCCAAGGCATTAGATGCCTGGGGGACTGGGGAGGTTTCCTCCAAACCCTCATATTCCTGACTCTACAAAGCCAGAAAAGTATTATACAGCTATCCAAATTCCACGTACATCAGGTCATCATCACCCACCATAACTAACACAGCAGCCCCACCAAAGACCCACCTTAAAAAGGCCAACCAAAACAACCTTCAAATCACAAAAGCCGCCGTGGCACTGCGACCACCAGTCCACCAACACAACCCAAAAAATTGAAAATAAGAACGCCAAGATAACCGTTAAAAGTTCCAATTATTCGATGGTTTGAATGGAAAAGGCTTGGTGTCATCTATTTGACAAAAACCTCATACCAAAGGCTTGAGTAAGATGAGATGTAGTAGGTTGAGAGGGTAAGAAGGTGGTGTAAGTGAATATGAGCAACAGCATCAGTAGGGGTATATGAAAAGAGAGACACGGTGGAAGGGAAATACAGGCACAGAGGAAACGAAGGTGTAGAAGGGAAGAGCAAATTAACAGATACATCAAACCTAGGAGGACTGAGAAGAGAATAAATTATGAGTGGAAGCTGGCAGGGTTTAAATTCAAATTCTAACAAAACATAATTCATGAGGTAAGGGTGTCAGGGTTATTACTTATTACTTATCACCCATTCAGAATCCGTGTGTTTAACGCCAAAGCCCATACAATGAAGTACACAATAAATTAATCAGAACCAAACAGGCCCTAAGAGATATGAAAAAATGAGAAACAATGGACGCAAGGAAACTAACCATGAAACCAACTGCTGAATAATTCAGAACCAGCATTGTATATGCGAAATTTACAAATGTCAATAACTTCTTCAAAATTTTTGCAGATACACCTTGCTGCCATCTGTAAATTACTGTTGAACGTATAAAACAGAAATGAGCATCAGTAAGTAAAAAAAAAAAAAAAAAACCATTAACAGCATTAGATCAAGTAATACCTTTAGAACCAGCAATCATCAAAGCCGACTGAACAAAGAAAAATATGTAGCCAGGATATAATCCCTGTATTTTCAGAACAGCCAGGAAAAAAGAAATCAGTGAGTGAAGCATATGCAACTATATAATGGCACAAAAAACCAAACAAGTACTCAAGAATCAAGATGCAAATTATCCCATAGAAGACATGGATGTATGACATACAAGGAGTGATCTTGCATGCAAGGAAATTTTACGTATCTAAGAGATGTATGGTTATCCCTAATTTCACTGTATTGTCTAAAGCTAAATGATAGGCCAGAGGACTTATTAGTTCAAAGAAGACTCACATGCCAAACAGCACTGACTGTCTGTGTAGCGAGAAGCTGAAAGAAACCAGCCTTCTTGTTCTTCTGGACCAGTCTCTCATAGACATCTGTGACAAGCAAAGTGCTGCTTCAGATACACAAAATTGGTGCCATAGTGAAATAATGAATGAGAAAACAAATCTTTTAAGAAGGTATACAAAGGTTATTTATAGCACAATACAGCAATATAAGATGAACGGTAGAATAAAAATGATAAGAGGCCAAGAAACTTACAGTGGCGGAGCCAGGTGCTAACTTGTATATTCCAGACAAGTGGTATCTGAACAGCACTCTTTGCCAACTCAACTCCAATGATATCGACATTTTGGGCTCGATCCCACTTGGGCTTTGGTGGGGATGTATTTGTCCATCCACTAAATCCAAAACCAGAAATTATCGTAGCAGCTTCCGAGATAGACCAGATGAAATAATACTTCCATCGTGCTGTAAAGCCACACAAGTACTGATAACCCAGCTTTTTAAAGAATCCCCATTCCCCATACGAGGGGTTCGTAAAAGTAGACAAGGGGAAATACGGCACCAAATTCAAATAGAGAGCCATGCATATAGCAGCTCGAAGAAGAGCCCAACCTACTCCACCCCAAGGTGATGGCTGTTTCTCCAATGGACTCCAAAGCTGCAAAGACAAAGAGCACACTCATGAATCCAAGTTTATGAATTCCCTGACTTGTAATTAAAAAAAGAGCACGACGAAGAACAAGAATGCTTCATAAACCGACCCCTTTCCCTTCTGTCCAATCAAGATAATCCTTCATTTCAAATACAGGTCCAGCAAGGTGACTCCCGCAGCAGAGGCAATATCCAACATATTCAATCAATGAGGGCTTCTTCAGCAACCGGTTTTTTTTCTGTGCTTCACGTAGGTCTTCATCTTTCAATAGTCCATCTTGATAATTTATTGCGCATGAGATGACTTTGAGCGTCAAGACCATCAGAGCACCTGCAAGGAAATCAATAGTTTTTAAAAACTGACAAGCAACATACAGGATACAGAAATTTGAGAGAAACTAACACAAGCAGTGGCAATCTGAGAAGTCCAGTCACACTCTTAGTTCAATGTAATCTTCAGTTATTTCCATCTAAATGAGAAGCATTAGACT